GAACCTTGCTCGTCCTCTTCCTCTCTCTTGGATGCCAAATGCCGTCGTTCTCCACTTCTCTCTAAGTTTGTAGGGAAGCTTTGAAATGACAACTCGCATGTTAGTAGGATTATCCATTTCCTCCATGTATTCTATATGATCCATAGTGTTTCCACAACCAACCGGGAAAAGGGCGTAGGCGCTTAATGCTTTACCATCTTCTGGTTTGATCTGAGGCCATTTCAACGCCTTGTCCATGTATGCATTGGCTTTCTTCAGGTCATCTCTGTAATGCTTTTGTAGTAACCTCCTGGCCTCCGAGTAGCCTCTTTCTGCTGACATATGCTCACAACTGCGAACAAGCTCTTGTGCTTCCCCACTGGTATACTGCTCCAAGTAGTAAAACTTGTCCTGATAGCCATCAGTTTTTCTATCCACGGCATGATCGAAGGCCCTAATGAAAGATTTGTAAGTAAGAGGGTCACCTTTATTCACTGGAATGTCTCTGCTAGGGAGGGAAGACATAGTCTTCTGCTTGACAAGCATTGCACTGATCTCATTTTGCCTCTGCATGACTTCATACAGCCCACCATTATTGTTCTCAGGCCGATGGGGATCATGATCATGGTCTCCTTTCTTACTTTGAGAAGACTTCTTCGATGCATAACTGCTGGCTCTTTCCTTGGCATTGTCATGCTCTTCGAGCACCTTAAGCTTTACACTGGATTCCGAAATAGCAGTATCAATGTTTAGTTGTTCCAATTTAGCCTTTATCTGCTTTTGCTCAAGTTCAAGTGCTTGTTTCCTTTTAATGCAGCTGAACGTGTGATCAGAGCTGCATGCACTGCTTCTTCCTTAATGTGCACTGAGCAGTCTGTGGTTACAGATGAAGCTACTGAGCTAGAGCTCACAGATGAGCCATGTTTACTCTTACGACGTCTTTCTTTCCCAACTTGAGAGACGCTGTCCTCAGCATTGACATCACATTGTTCAGATTTATTTGCTAAAGTATTTCCAGAGACACTGTTTTGCTTTCTCACTTTTTTCCACATTGCAAAACATCAGCTTTCAGTATTTTCCACAAAGTCTCTTATGGGTGCTGATCTTGGTTACCAACCAATTATGTTGATCTGCTTGACCTTCATCTTCATCCAATAAAGCTACCACTTCAGCATTAACATCCTCAAACTGCAAAACTTTTGACTGAGCATCTCTTCCACTTTCTTTACATCTCTGCCATCAATTTTAAGGTTTTCAATAGTTTTCATCATGGCTGTAAGTTGAGATAGTTTACCTCTTCTAGCTCGAATAAGCCGGCTGATTCTGTCATCCGAAGCTTTTTCAGTGGGCTTTGGCGCCCTCTTATGGTTAGAATCGTCCATGGCAATTGCGCCGTCTTGCTACGTCAATTAGTGCACAGTCATCTACATTTGCTTCAAAACGGTCCGTTTTCTCTTCAAAAGATAATGTCCATCAACGTCTCTAAGTGTGCACCAATCTTCTCGAGATAGCCGTTCTCTTATATTCACCACCTCCACGTCATATGAGCCACGTTAGCTAGAGCCACTTTAGCTAGCTTAAGCCTGTTAGGTAGGATGCAGCATTTCCATACCGAAGCACTTAAAATAAGCTTGGTTATACTACTACTACACCCCTCCCCATCCCCCCCTTCACTGCGGTCAACTCAGCCAACACTTGAATTGTAGTGCACGTGTATGCTGATAATTACGGTATTGAACAAGTAACCGGAATAAAAGGTATTTAATCAAATATTCTGGACAATGACTCCATAGTTACTCCGAACTCCTCCCATACTCGCTGCTTTGCCTCCATCACGACCTTCGAGCCTGTTGGTACACTGCCTCCGGAGTCCCACCAGATATCATAACCTGGAAGGCCTCCTTCTTCAGTGGGACGGCTTCCCTGACCATCGGTGTCCACCACGGGGTTCGAGGGTTACCGCCCCTTGATGCACCTAAGGCCTTGAGGCCACAACTCACTGCCGCGGCTTCAGCAATGGAGGTTTTCAACATACACCACTCTGGCTCAATGTCCCCTACCTCCACAGGAATGTGTCTGTCCCGAGACTTCCCCCATCCTCTGACCCAGCTCACAACCAGATGGTGATCAGTTGACAGCTCTGCCTCTCTCTGTACCTAAGTGTCCAGAACATGCGGCCTCAGATCAGACGATACGATTACAAAATCGATCATTGATCTTTGAGCTCTGGTGGTGTTTTTGAACTTGCAAAAATATGACTTTTACTTCGCAGAAATCTCCAAATCTGTACAGTAAAATGTTTCAAATTCAGCATGGTAGTAGTCAAAGAGGTCCGTAACAAAAGGTACATTGATCTTGGCCTGGAACTATTGATGAATCTGTTTTTATTGCAGCTCAATTATGGAGAAATGGTGTTTTGGAAATGGCAATTATAGGCCTTTTACTTGTACACGAGTAGTCCCGTAGACACATTGTCCGGAATTTGCTATTTAAATAGCCCTTTTTCCGGTTACTTGTTCAATATGTCACCATATACGTGTACTAAAATTCAAGCTTCGGCTGAGTTGACCGCAGTCCCCCCTCTGTCCGAATAGGACTCATTACGCAAGGTGAATCGTCGCTAGTAATACGGGATTTAAAACACACTTTAAATGGTGTAGCGACCCTGTTAAGCCAGTTTCACGTCAGTCCCCGCACGCTGGCCAATCAGGGGGAGTTGCGGGTCATGCTAGACAGAGGGTGGCCAGTGATTGGGGGAGACGGTGGGAGGCGGATGTTCCTGTGGTTTTGGGGGGCTAGTCAAGTTTGCTAGCGGAGTTCTAGGTTGTTGTTATTGCCGACTGCAAGTTCGAGTGAGTGTACCAATAGCGTGGGGTATATGTATTTCTGCTGCTGGAGACCTAACATAAAGGATTGCTACCAAAACGTCCATTCGCCTGCGTGTGCTGAGTGACGCACTACACCCCGACGCTACATTGGTGTCAGAAGTGACTTTGAACGGACAAGATCGCTGTGGAGAGCCGGTGGAGAGCTAGCCGGTTAGCCCGCTGCGGCCATGGATCGTGTCTACGGGACTAACGTCAACGTTACGGTAAAGGAAGAAAAGGGAGAAGCGGAGGAAGAGGGAGCTGGCGGGTGGTCAAAGGACATGGCCAGAAGTTTCGACGGAGCTACGAGGGATGCGAGGGCACGTCTGAGAGAGTCTACGGTGAGGATGGCTAGAGCCGCCACCATGAGTCCCACACCGAAGTTTCCCGCGGTTTCTTCCGTAGCGTTAAACTTCAATGGCGGCGCCCGTCACTCGTGTGCAGCCCCAGCGGTGAAAACGCCGAAATATGACGGTAGGACGCCTTGGGAAGCTTTCCTGGCTCAATTTAAATCAATTCCATCATTACAAAATAAAAGCCTCAATGATTATCTCTACCTTAACCATGAAGCGGTTTCGTTGAAATACGTATTGCTATTTCAAATACTACTACAACCACTAAGCATGTTACTTGTACTTCTAGTAGTACTACAACTGATACTTCTACTACCATACTACTAGTATTTTTACTGCTATTAATACTACAACTACTACTAATGTTATTACAAATACCACTATGGCTAATAGTATTTGTATTACAGCTGTTTCTACTGCTGTAGGTTTAGTATCAAAAACCTACTATTACTGCTTCTACTGCTAGTACTACTAATACCACAATTACAACCATAACTAATACTACTACTAATATTACTACAAACAATTTTAAAACCTCTTTTTAGTCATCTCAGCTTTTGTTATTTCTTTACTTTTTAAAATTAATTTAAGCTCCTGCAACTTCTGTATTTCTTTAGAAAATCTATTGAAATTCAGCTTCCCCACTTCCTGTATTTTCAGCAGTTCTTTAAAATAATTTCATCTTTTCTTATGCCTGTATTAACAGCAATGCTTTAATGTTCATTTCTGTATTTTTTTGCAATATTTCACATTCATTTCAGCTGTTTTCATTTCTGCTTTTTCAGCAAATTTATTGAAATTCCTTTCAGCTTCTCCCATTTCTGTATTTTCAGCAATTTCAAATTAATTTCAGCTTTTCTAATCTAATCTGTAATTCCAGCAAATGTATTAAAATTCCCTTAACTTTCTGTAATTTCAGCAATTTCTGAAGTTCATTTCAGCTTTCAGCTTTTTGCATTCCAACGCATTTTCAGCAGGAAATGCATTTTCTAGTTTGTCCTGAAGTCTTCTCTGGTAAGTAGCATTGAGCACCTCTGCTCACGGCTCATTATTTGAATGGTTTAGATTAAGTTTTAGCATTTTAAAACAGCATCATAATGTTTCTGTAACTCATGCCAAACATAAACATAAAAAGAAAAGTTGAAAAACCCCCCTGTATGGCATAATCACGAACCCGTGACTAACACTAGCATAGCAGCTAACACGGACTTCCCCTTTTCTCTGTAAAAGTGTATTGTAACGGTTATAAAGGGATGAATCGGCTAATTAGGTCGCTAGTGTTGTGTTCAAAAATGAAGAAACGCCAGACGGACAGAGGTCATCGCTGATCAAAAGGTTCAAATCAAATGTATTTAATAAAGGAGATGGCGTTGTGGTAAAAAGAACATCTCAGCTGAGGAGCCGCTGGTCTCAGCGACCAACAGGCCCCAGGTCAGTCCTTTGACCATCCCTAGTGCCCGTCTGTAGCCTCCACCAGCGAACTCGAGAACAATGGTTCCTACAGGTATTTATAACAATGCTTAAAGGTGTGAAAGTCAGTGTCCACACCTCTGGGAGTGGTCTTCTGGTGAGTTCAATGTAACTCGGATTTCGGATGATCCTTAGTCAATATCAGTTGTTGCTCAAGTATTACATGCATGCATTCCAGTTGATTACATTACATCAAATACAATCATAACTGTACATTGGTATTATTCTATTACAGTTGCAGAATTACAGTGGTTTTACAATATTGTCATTACTTTATTGATTACAGTTTCAGAATCATGGCTGTATTCTGGTGTACACTATATGCATTTTTATTAATTTTATGAACCGGATCGTCAATTTGTTTCTAATATCCTACACTAGCTAGCTAACACATTTGTCAGTTACCATGTCTTAGTCTTAGTCACGTTAGCTTAATGCCGTTAGCATAATGCTAATGCCGTTATGAGGAACTCAAATCCCTGTTAGATTTCTGTACGGTTAGCTAACGTTAGCCAATTTCAATGCATTTTTGAAACACTGTTAATGCTGGGGTTAGTAATGCCAATGGCCAATGTACAAATTAATTATGACGGCCAAATTACCTTGTATTTTAGCTCACTACTTAGATAGCTAAGTTACTAGTTAGTCATTCGTAACTAGTCGTATATTTCGGCCAGAATATCCCACACTTCCATTCATGTTGAAATTATAAATGAGCAACCAACCAATTTCAATGCATTTATGAAACCTCTAAAACCAAATCATTGTTTTCATTAACTCAACTAACTTAAATCAAGCTGAGAAATGTTAAAATGCAAATAAATAAACCAACATTAGCATAATTAGCTCTAGTAGCCTGCTAGGCGCTAGCTGAGGCTAACCATTGACTTGAGTAAGAACATGCTCATTTATGTCATAAATACTGTTGGTGCTTGTCTAAGGCATGTCTGTGTTTTTTATCTGTTTTTATTTATTTATTTTTATTTATTTATTGTATACATATTTATTTTATGTATGACTTAGATTGACTTTAATCTGGGTTGTCATGTTATATCAGCAATATTTAACTACTGTAATCTACTTCTGTAATTACTTTTTTTTTTAAACGCTGCAACATTAAACTTACTACAAGTTAGTCTTATTGTTTCCTCTCCTAGACAACAGAACATCGATCATCTCCTCTGTGGTTGGTAAGTATAGTAATATTGTACCTGAAATTGATAACAGGCCACATAACTGTTTAGCATCTGGATGCTTTTTTCAATTGTTGATTTATTTCGTTCTTATCTTATTTGTTGAACAGTTGTTTGTCCTTTAAAATATTAGACAATTGTGAAAACGTCATGCAAAAGTCTCCCAGGATTATGTCGTTGTGTTTTGCCCATAAATCAGAGACATTCAGTTTACTCTCATAGAGAAGCAAAGCAATCAGAAAATATTGCATATTGCAGCCGGAATCAGAGAATTTAACTTCATTCATCAATGAATAGCAACATCTTGAATGCTATGTACCATAGTGCTATAGATTTGCACATCTTAAATCCTTCAGAAGCAATGACAGCAATCAAAGGTAAACAGTTTAGTCTTGTTAGAAACACAGTTAGTATTACCACACAGCTCAGTTTCACACTGCAACATACAATTATCTTCCTAGAAAATCATGCTTTGGAATGAGATGGACAATACATGAAGTAATAACTTTAGACATTTATAATGAATAAAATAATGACTTTTGAACGAGACAGTGATTATAAATAAGGACATACAGAGTCCACCAGAAATAACTTTTAATTCAAATAAGCAATGAGGTTGCTTTTTAAAATGTAACTGAGAATGTCTCTTTTTTTTATTCTCTACATCCCTCACCCTCCTTGGACTCTTCCTGGACTCCTCCTTTCTGTGTTTAACTGCAGACCCTTACTGCTGGTGAATTATTGCTGACTCTGAGCTGTGAGTTGATTCATTTCTGATTCATTATGATTTTGCTATAGCTCAACTGACGTTACATTGGTTTACAGTTTAGACCACCTTCCACCACAATATTTTGTTTCTACAAGAATTACATCTTTGTCTTGCATCCTCAACAATAAATTACCCAATCACGACAACAATGTGTTCTACAGTCAAATTAAATGTGACTCATGGTTTTCAGAGAAGAAATTAAACTTAAACTAATTTATTTCAACCAACTCATATGGGTAGAAGGTGCACCTGTGTTTAAGGAGGATGACGATAAGACTGTTTCGGATTTGTGTCTAAATACATCACAAGTGCAATCTGGCTCCAGAATCTGAAGTGGAAAGGTTGGAATGTATCAAAGAACTGGAGGCAAGAGAGCCAGATCATGAAAATGTTCAAGAAAATATTCCAGAATACACTAATCAAGCTAATGCTGCAACAGAAGCCAGAGCCATCAGAGAGCCTCCGACCTTTGACCCCACACTTCTACGGCAAATGTATCACCTGAACCAGAAACAAGCATGTGTGTTCTATGCAGTTAGAGACTGGTGCGTAAAGCGTGTCTGTGGCCTAAATCCTGAGCAGTTTTTCTTTTACATCAATGGTGGTGCTGGAACAGGAAAGTCACATCTTATTAAATGCATCTACTCAGAAGCATCTAAGATACTGTGCAAACTGCCTAGCCATTCTGAGGAGGAGGTCCTATTGACAGCTTTCACTGGAACTGCAGCCTTTAATATATCAGGATCAAGACTGCACTCTTTGCTCAAGCTTCCACGAAGTCTGAAACCTCCATTTCAAGGACTTGGTAACCAACTGGATGAAGTCCGATCAGAACTTTTAAATTCTGAAATCCTCATCATTGATGAAGTGTCCATGGTGTCAAAACCCCTGTTTGCTTATGTGGATGCAAGACTGAAACAGATCAAAGGTAGTCCCAAACCCTTTGGAGGAATGTCAGTAATAGCTGTTGGAGACTTTTATCAGCTACCACCAATGCGACAGTCCAAGACCCTCTGTGTGTACGAGCCATGTGAGATTGATCTATGGCAGGAACACTTTCAGACAATCACCCTGACTGAGATTATGCGGCAGAAGGATGATGTTGCCTTTGCAGAGATGTTGAACCGGATCTGTGTGAAAGGAAAGTCAGGTGAGTTGTCTCAAGCAGATAGAGCCTTGTTGTCACAGACCATCACTGAACCATCACTTTGTCCACCTGATGTCCTGCACATCTTTGCAACTAATAAACAGGTCGATTCACACAACTCAGTAACATTAGCTCTGCTCCATTCTAATATCACCAAGATCGATGCAGATGACTACAAGAAGGACCCACGAACTGGAAGAATGGCTCGTCAAGCCCAACCATACAAAGGAACTAGAATGAGTTACCAGACACACTAAACATAGCTGAAGGTGCTTGAGTCATGCTCACCAGAAACATACACGTGTCTCAGGGATTGGTGAATGGATCGTTTGCTACACTAGTCAGGGTAATAACCTCAGTACAGAGTGGTGTTGCACATGTTACTATGCTTGGGCTCAAGATGGATGATCAAACTGCTGGAAGGAATTACCGTAATAGAGCACCAGGCGGCCCTGATGATGTGGTGTACATAGAGAGAGCAGAGGACAATCTGAAACAGAAAGGAGTTGTACGCAGACAGTTTCCTGTTAGACTTACCTTTGCCTGTACGATGCACAAGGTTCAGGGTATGACAAGGACATCAGCTGTAGTGTCACTGAAACACATTTTTGAACCTGGCATGGCTTACGTAGCTATCAGTAGAGTGACCTCTCTCAGTGGACTGCAGATGCTGGATCTGGATGAGAGTAAAATCTATGCCGACCCAGAAATCACTGGAGCCCTCGAGACCATGAGAGATGTCAACTTGGACGACATGATGCCTCTTCTTCGTATAACACAGACATCGAGCAGACGTGACACTCTGACCATTGTTCACCATAACACGGAAGGTTTGCCATCGCACATCAATGACATCAGGAGCCATCATGAACTGTGTCTTACAGATGTTTTGTGTCTCACAGAAACTCACCTTCAAGGCTCCTTTGTTGCAGAGAATCTCCATTTAGAGGGCTACAACCTGTTCAAACGCAACAGACACCTGTCCTACACAAATGTTCCACAAATAGCCAACAGAGGTGGTGGTGGAGTTGCTTTTTATGTGAAAAGTCACGTTCAGGTGCGTGAGAAACAGTACGTACATAATGTGACCGATCTTGAGGTTGTGGCTCTGAAGGTAGAAGCCCCAGTGAGAGCCTTGATTGCAGCTGTGTACAGACCTCCAGACTACAGTGTGAGATCATTCCTGTCCAACCTGGGGAGCCTGCTGGACTCATTGGAGATCATGGACTGTCAGCCCATTATTGTCTGTGGTGATTTCAACGAGAATCTCTTCTCCAACACTGGTAAGCCAATCCTTGAGCTCTTCTAGTCCAGAGGATTTGCACAAGTCATCACTAATGCAATCACTTAAGAACACACTGCTGGACCTCATTTTCATCTCTCAACCACAACGCTGTCTCCATTCTGGTGTAATGAGAACTTATTACAGTTATCACCGCCCTTTCTACTGTGTCATGTCCTCTAACAGTCCATGAAGGTATCAGCTGAGTTTTAAAAGAAAAATATAATGTACTTAACTTTCAATAATATTGTATATACAGTTATTTCATTCCAGTTATCCAGAGGTGGGGGATCCTCTGTGCATTTATATCTCTCCACCACAGCAGCACCGTCATTCTGGTACAGTAAATACATTTCCCTTGTCACTATCATGTTTTCTGTCTATATTCTTCCAACAGGTCTGAAAATAATCATGTAAGACCAATAGCCACTGAGAATCATGTATTTTTTTTTAAACAAACCCAATTGTTGTGAGTCTGGGATTATGTAACTGTTGATGTAAAGCAGGGGTGCACAAACCTTTTTGGCTCGCAAGCTTCCAGTCTAGCCTCACCTCCTTCTGAACTGTGAGGATCAGCTCACAGCATCTAAGACATGCCAAAGACTGCAGCACCAACTGAACTGTCAATCAACCGAGGACCCATCACAGTTCCTCATAGG